ACTCGGACCAAGGGGCCAACTTCCGTGGGGGAGAAAGGGAACTCCGAGCAGCTTTTGCAGCCATGACCTCTGACCTGCAGAAGCTCCTGGCTCCCCATAAGATCGTCTTCCACTTCAATCCACCAGCGGCTCCTCATTTCGGGGGAGTGTGGGAGCGGGAGATTAGGTCTGTCAAGACGGCACTCTACACTACAGTAGGATCCCAACCCCTTCAAGAAGAGGTCCTCCACACGGTCCTTGTGGAGGTGGAGGGCATCTTGAACTCCAAACCACTAGGTTATGTCCCGTCTGACATCAGTGATCCTGATCCAGTGACCCCAACTGCTTTCTGATGGGGCGGCCTGACGGAGCACTTCCTCAAGTGGCTTATCCCAAAGAAGAGCTCCTGAGTCGCCGGAGGTGGAAGCACTCCCAGGTGCTGGCTGACCATTTTTGGTCTCGATTCATCCGGCTGTACCTTCCAAGCCTGCAGCTTCGGCAGAAATGGCGGTCATCCCCCGCAGATGTCACAGAAGGTTCGGTGGTGATGATCGTAGATCCTCAGCTGCCTCGCGCTTCCTGGCTCGTGGGCCGCATCTCCAAAGTCCACCCCAGTCCCGACGGGCACATCAGGTCTGCTGACATCAAGGTGAAGGACCGGACCTTCACCTGACCTGTGGCGAGGCTGGTGGTGCTGCCTGCCCTCCCGGACGAAGGCAAAGGACAATCACCGTAACTTTGTTTGTAAAATTGCCTTTTGTTGTGAGCAAATGTACTTCATACATTTGGGGGCGGCTGTACAAAAGGCCCCGTAGTTATGGGTTTATTCTGTTCAGTTGTTAGTTCACCTGTAGTTTTTAGAGTGGCCAGTAGAGGTCACCCCACCGCTTTGTATGAGAGACTATGTCCAGGGAGAGACGTGGGCAAAGCACCTGAGCTTTTCTGCTCCAGATTACTGGCAGAGAATTGGTTATCCGTGAGAAGTGTGCGTTAATGAGCAACGTAAGTTGGTGATGTGTGAGGATGTGATAATAAGATGTGTTTGGGACTGTAACCAAGGTTAGGGGGGAAATGATTATGTTTCTGTCTGTGCCGCTAGCGGGTGCTAAGCTAAGCTAAGCTAAGCTAACTTTCCTGCCGTGTGGTTGGGTATAGCTGTGTACCTGGTTAGCTCTCTCAGGGGTCTACGTGTGAGTCGTGGGTAATATATGGCCTATGGTATTAAAGGGGATGTTAGTTTATTTCCTGCCTGTGTTTATGTTGATGTACTCTGGAGATATTGTTGTGAACACTTTAGTAATGTAGCATTTTTTTCTGTTCCGTTCAGAGACCACACACACACACACACACACATCCATGCCCACGCACCTAAACCTGTATGCAATACCTGCTCCTCTGACAACCTCTGTTACCTTCAACTGTGTGAAGTTAATACAAGAGTCTGCACTATCCTCGGTGTCTTCATTGTCTCCCTTCTGAACATTCATCCGGGCCTTGAGCAGTGTTCTGGCCGACACTCCGGGGAGTGGTAGCTGCAAACCTGAACTAGCACCTTACAGTCCTTCCAGTACAAGCTATCTACCCAACAATACATTTGTTGGGGGTTTTTAAGGAAATCATGGAGGGAGAGGTGATGACAGAGAGTATGAAGATGGGCGTGGTTTCTATATTATTTAAGAAAGGTAATCCACATCAACTCGATAATTATAGACCTCTAACCATGTTATGTGTGGACTACAAGATTTTGAGCAAGATACTCGCAAATAGACTCATAGGAGTAATGTCACACATAGTGGAGAAGGATCAAACGTGTGGGGTCCAGGGGAGGCAAATTACTTGGAACGTACAATTACATAGGGATATACTTACATATGTAAGAGATAGAAATATAGCAGCAATTTGTGTTAGTTTGGATCAGCAAAAGGCGTTCGATAGGGTAGATCATGATTTTTTGTGGAGGGTAATGGAGGAAATGGGGTTAGGAGAGGCTTTTATAAAAAGGGTAAAAATTTTATACAAGGGCATAAACTCAAAAATTAAATTAAATGGTTTTCTTACAGAAAAAGTGTACCAAACAAGAGGTTTGAGACAAGGGTGTCCATTATCTGTCGTACTTTACGTGCTTTATGTCGAACCTTTGGCCTGTGCAATAAGGGAGAGCCAAATAGTGAAAGGGATAATGATGCCACGGGGGGAAAGCTTAAAAATATCGCAATATGCAGATGATACGATATTATATCTGGCAGATGATGACAGCTTAAGGGAAGTGATAGAAATTTTAAAAGCTTACGAAAAAGCGACGGGATCGAAAATAAATAAAGAGAAAACAAAGTACAAATATTTGGGGATATGGGAGGGTAGAAAAGACAACATTTGTGAATTCACTTTGTGTGAAGGTCCTATGGACATTTTAGGAATTTCATTTGGAAATAAGGAAGGTGATGCTTTCTGTAATTGGAAAGAGAAGATGAATGCGGTGGATAAAAAATTAGGCCTATGGAAAGCAAGAAAACTTACAATATCGGGGAAAGTTTTGGTCATAAAGAGCGAGGTAGTGCCGAAACTATTACATTTGGCCTATGTGTTTCCGATGCCTCAGATTTATAGAGTACAAATAACGAGGGGGATATTCAAATTCATATGGGGGGGTTATGAGTATGTAAAAAGAGTACACATGTATCAAGAAATTGCAGATGGTGGGAAAGGGGTACCGAACGTTCCTTTAAAGTTGGATACAATATTTTATGCAAATGTTTGTACATTATTGAAAAAGACTTATATGCATAAATGCCAAATATTGTTATGGTTTTGGTTAGCGATACCATACCGGTTTTTGATTGGGTGGGAAAATAAAGGTCCCAAAGCAGAGTCTAGACCAGAATATTTGCAGAGGATGGTTAGATGGGGGAAGAAACATTCGGAATGTAAAGAGGTGGATACAGTATTAAATCATAAACTTTTATACAAAAAACTGGTATGGAAAGCTAATCACAATCAGGTAACGGTGAGCCCGGAAGTGTGGGAACTTGCACAGGACAAGAGTTTCAAAAATGTTTTAAAGGACTTTAACTGGATGCACTTACATAAAAGGCTACCAGTGAGGGTCACAATGCATGCACATAATCTGGGGAAACAAAAAAGTGTCCAAGGGAAAATTGTGTAGAAGAAGAAACAATTGAACATGTACTATGGGGATGTGAATACGCTAAAAAGGTATGGGAAGGGGTAAAGGGGAAGTACAAAGGGTTGGGGATGGTGACGTATGAAGAAATCACTTTTTTTAGGGCTAAGGGCAAAACAAATGAGAGACATAAAATACGTTGTATGTTGTTGTCAATTATTAAGCTTAAATTATGGAAGGCAAGACAGGGCTGCATAACGGGGGGATTTAAATGGGGGGAAATTGGGACGATTAAGGCTATAGAGAAGGAATTTGAAGGGATATATTGGTACGAACTACAAAAATGGGGAATCGATACGATTAAGGATAGATGGAAAGATTATTTTTTGAAAGTACCCAAAAGGAGGTGGTAGATAAAGGGTAAGGGGTAAAGTGGGGAGGGGGAGATAAGGAGTAATATGATAAGTTATTTGAAAATGTTACTTTGTATGGGGAAAGATGAAAATAGGATTTTTTTTTTTTTTTTTTTTTTTTGTTATGAACGAATGTTGGGAGAAAAGTGAATGTAACCTTATCATCTTAAAGGAAAAGGTAAAATGTTGGAATTGTTGTGGAAAGAAAATAAAAAGAAGGAAAAAAAAATCTGTTCTTATCAGTTTAATATCTGATACGTCCCCTACCCGGGGACCATATATTAAATTGATTTTTGGAGCAGGGAGATGGAATAGGGGCTTGCTCCGTCCACTCCACGCATCGACCTGGTATTGCAGTATTTCTAGGAACGGTGCACCCCCTGAAGCTGTGAAAAACAAATGTCATTTGACTCAACAGTTTGTGCAAAGAAATTTCTTATACGCTAGATATATGCGTGCGTCTGCATATGTGGACATTGTCTTCGTGTAATCTTCCAAGGTTAGTCAGACTGAAATCTTGCGACTTAATATTTGTGAATGACTTACATTTAACTATTACCAGAATTACTAAATCCTGCCACTTGGACTGACACGTGGCTGGACACACACTTTCTATGGGAAATCAAAAAAATATGTCGTTTTCAACTGCAGTTACACTATTCTGGCTCCAATCCTGCAGTTACCTCTGTTGTCCACTAGAGACCAATAGAAGTCTTTAAAAACCGGAGGCTGCCATCTACAAGGACTCATGTTGATTATAGGTTTAACTCTTCTCTTTCTCTACATACTGCAGCTTTCTGTCCTCTGTGGCTGTAAATTACATCGTTTGAAAAAAAAAACACCACACAATTTTTTCTTGGCTTTTTAGCTAAAATCACCTGTATTGTCTGTTGTTTCCATTTGTGGATGGTTAATAGTGCAGAAGATTGTTTTTCTGTTTTCAGGATTACATGAAAACATTTTGGAACAGATCATTTTTGTATATAATAAATCTTAGGATAGTATTGGTTTTGATGATTTATAAAACAGCTGTGTGCCGTAGCCCTGGTAGTGTGGATCCTTAGTGTGTAAAGAGTAGATATCTCATGTAATATGTGTGAATAAAAATCCATGGACTTTATAAGAGTCCTCCATTTATGGCTATGATCCTAACAAACAAGATTAATACGTTTCTTTCTCCTACCAATCTTCCTGTTTCCTAAAGGAACACGCATGCACAATATATATGCACCAGGATGGCCGAGTGGTTAAGGCGTTGGACTTAAGCTCCAATGAGCGCATCCTCTCGTGGGTTCAAACCCCACTCCTGGTATAATTTGGAGCCTCATGACTGGTAAACTGAAATGTATCTATGGGAGCAACAATGATCAATAGGAGTTTTTAGGAATTTGCTGTGAGCAATATCCCCCCACCCAGTCACCCCCAAAAAAGCTGGGATGAAAGACAAATGAGCAGAATGAGTCGTTTCTCTCGTGCGATATATGGGTATCGCTTCTCGGCCTTTTGGCTAAGATCAAGTGTAGTATCTGTTCTTATCAGTTTGGGCGAGAAGCAATGAAGGATGGCGGCATCGTCGGCCAATTTCTCTGAGAGGAACGCATGGACGTATGGAACAAGAAATACGCTGAGATTCGAACTTATGGAGAAAGAAACGCAATTTCATGACAGAATAACCTTCGGACGAAGAATCCTTTTTGAAGCCCTAAAGATACAGCCGGAGGAGATCTTCCGCCTTCAACAGAGTGCTGCAAGCAAACACTATGATGTGACCTTTTGTACTGGAGAGTATGTGGAAGAAGATGAGGAACTGCGGAAATATACGGTGACCCCTTTGTATCGGAACGATTATAGAATTTTAACGATACATATGTATAATCCTTGGGTCACGGAAGAGACTATCAAGTACTTCCTGGGGAGATACGTTACTGTCCTCCCAGGAGTACGGAAAATAAAGGACGGCCTCGGCCTATGGACTGGAAAGAGACAATTTCGCATCGAATTGAATGCGGATATGGACAGCGAGGATGGATATTGCCATCCGCCTGCAGTATTTTCCATTGGAGCGGATAGAGGCTTCCTAGTTTACGCAGGGCAGCCTCAAGCATGTAGGAAATGCGGAAGTACTGGACATAACGCGGACAAATGTGACCAGGTGAGGTGTAGGAGTTGTGGCAAGCTTGGTCATATAACAAAGGACTGTAAGGAGCCCAGAAGATGCCACCTATGTGACTCAGATGCACATATGGCGAGAGACTGCACTAAGCCCCGGCCATATTCGGCCGTGGTGAAGACTGGACTCGTTGAGGAAGATCGCAGCGAAGTGGAAATAGACTCTGACGCCGGAGAAAGGCCACAGGAGCCGCCACCAGCTGCTGGAAATCAGGCTAACGAGGATAAAGCGGGGAGCGCGGAGGAGGGGACGGAGCGGCGAGAGGAGAAGGGGGAGAGGAGTCCCGAGCAAGACGGTGAGAAAGAGAAGCAGGGGGAGGATCCCCATTTGTGGGAAGTGGCCGCAAAGCCACGGAGAAAATCTGCAAAGAGGAGGAGAAAGGGGAGCCCGGCCGCCTCCTCGGAAGAGGTTAAGATAAGAGACCAGGAAGTCAGGGAGGAGGTTTTGGAGGAAGGTGGGAACGTGGAGGGGTATGTATTGAGAGGAACACAGACTGAGTGTATGCATACCCCGTTAAGTGACGTGACAAGTGACGGGGATATGGAAGAGGAAGGTGAGAGTGAAGAAAAGTCAGAGGACTCCTTTATAAAAAACTTATTGTTACATGTTAACATGGATAGATAAAGACTATGGGAGAAGAGCAAAAATTTATCAAGTGTCTTATCGCAACCGTTTTTCTTTGTTTTTTTCTTTTTTTTTCTCATTCTTTTTTTGTTTAATCCTGCCCTTAGTGCTCTACTTGCCCTTCTGTTTATGGTATGGGGAAAATACGAATAATTATTTTGAATGTTAGGGGGCTAAAAAACGCCCGAAAGAGGAAAATGGTCTACGAATTTTTACTATGTTATAATTTTGATATTTGTTTGGTACAAGAAGCCCATCTAAAGGATGAGGGGGATGTTGTTGTGTTTACTGAGGAATGGAGGGGAGGGGAAGCCTCTTGGAGCATCGGGGGGGTACATGGGACTGGAGTCGGGGTGCTATGTGGGAATAAAGGTATTCGGATAATGGAGAGCTATACGGTAATACAAGGAAGGGTAATGGTGGTGGATGTTGAAAAAAATGGGACCCAATGCCGGATAATAAATGTGTACGCACAGGTGGAGCACGGGCTACGTAGGGACCTCTTCCAAAAATTGGACACCTGTTTCTTGACTAAAAAGGACATTATTGTGGGAGGGGACTTTAACTGCTCTCTGGAAAAGGAAAAGTGCTCCCTCCCCTTTAAGACCTTTATTAAAAAATATGAATTAATAGATGTAATGGGGAAACTACAGGGAAAGCAGGTGGGGTACACATGGAAGAACTCAAGGGGGGCGAAAAGTAGGCTAGATTATATTCTTGTAGGAAAAAAGTGTAAAATAATAAACGGAAAAACTATACCGGCTCTTTTTACAGACCACCAAGCTGTGGATGTGGAGCTTGAGATAGAAGGGCCTGACTTTGGAAAAGGGTACTGGAAGTTTAACAATGATGTGCTTGCTGAAAAATCCTATAGGGAAGGTTTTATAAAAATCTTCCCTTTATGGGTAGAGATGAAAAGCTTATACAGCAATGTTGTGTTTTGGTGGGAGGACATAAAGAAAAAAATAAAAAAGTTCACGGTCGATTATTGCTCAGAGAGAGCAAAGTTTAGAAAGAAGGAGTTTGACATAATACAAAAAGAGATAGAACATATTTATGTTACGCAAAATAAGGGAAAGGAAAAAATAAAGGAAGGGTATTTGGAAAATTTAAAAATAAGACAGGAAGAATTGCTCGAGAGGAAAGCAAGGGCTGTAATATATAAACTAAAGCAGGAAGAGTATGAGGAAAATGAGAAATGCTCCTCATATTTTTTCAGAAAGATGAAGATAAGAGATAAGAGGGGGGTTATAAGGAAATTGGAGAAGGATGGAAATGTGATTAGGGGGAAGGAAAACATGTTAAAAATGGTGAAAGAATATTATGGAGAATTGTTCAAGAAGGAGAACTTGGATGAGGGAAAGGGGGAGTTTTTTATAAGTTCCCTAAAGAGAAGGTTACCGGAAGATGAAAGAGGCAAGTTGGGGGGGGAATTGACAGTAGAAGAGGCACACAATGTGATAAAGGCAATGAAGGCTAATAAGGTGCCTGGTATAGACGGCCTAACAAAAGAATTTTATGTGGCTTTCTGGGATATGGTGGGGATACACCTTATAGGGGTTTTTAAGGAAATCGTGGAGGGAGAAGAGATGTCAGATAGTATGAAAACGGGAGTGGTGTCCATACTGCTTAAGAAAGGAAATCCAAACCATCTAGACAATTATAGACCATTAACTATGTTGTGCGTGGACTATAAAATCTTGAGTAAGATTTTGGCAAACAGGCTAGCAGGAGTCATGTCGCACATAGTAGAGATGGATCAAACTTGCGGGGTACAGGGGAGGCAGATCACATGGAACTTACATCTACATAGGGATGTACTCACATATGTAAAGGAGAGAAACATAGCGGCAATATGCATTAGTTTGGACCAGCAAAAAGCGTTTGATAGAGTAGACCACGCTTTTTTGTGGAAGGTAATGGACGGATTGGGCCTAGGAGGGGTTTTTACAAAATGGGTAAAAGTCCTATATAAGGGCATAAATTCAAAAATAAAAATTAATGGTTACCTTACGGACAAAGTACAACAAACAAGAGGATTGAGGCAAGGGTGTCCACTATCGGTGGTGCTCTTCGTGCTTTACGCTGAACCCCTGGCTTGTGCAATAAGGGAGAGTCTAGTCGTAAAGGGGATAACGCTGCCACGGGGCGAGAGCTTAAAAATATCTCAATACGCGGACGATACGATATTATACCTGGCAGACGACGAAAGTTTAAGGGGAGTGATAGAAATCTTAAATGATTACGAAAAAGCAACAGGATCGAAAATAAACAAAGAGAAGACGATGTATAAATATCTTGGGAAGTGGGAAGGGAGAAAGGATAACATTTGTGATTTTATGTTGTGTGAAGGTGCTATGGACATATTAGGAATTTCTTTTGGGAACAAGGAGGGGACGCCTTATGCAACTGGAAAAAGAAGATGACTGCAGTAGATAGAAATTTGGGATTATGGAAAACAAGAAAACTCTCAATCTCAGGGAAAGCGTTGGTCATAAAGGCTGAGGTGTTGCCAAAGTTGCTACACTTGGCCTATGTTTTTCCGATGCTGCAAAAGTATAGAGCTCAATTAATGAGGGGGATATTTAAATTCATATGGGGGGGTTATGAATACGTAAAAAGGGTGCAAATGTACCAAGAAATAGCAGATGGTGGGAAGGGGGTGACAAACGTCCCATTGAAGTTGGATGCAATATTCTATGCAAGTGTTTGTACACTATTGAAAAAGACATATATGCACAAATGTCAAATCCTGTTATGGTTCTGGTTGTCGATACCATATCGGTTCTTAATAGGGTGGGACAACAAAGGCCCTAAAGCGGAGACTAGGCCGGAGTATTTCCAGCGAATGGTAAAGTGGGGGAGGAGACATACGGAATGTAATGAGGTGGATACAATTGTAAATCACAAGCTACTATACAAAAAATTGGTACAGAAATCTAATGTCAACTTAGTAATGGTGAGCTCAGAAGTGTGGGAACGGGCTCAGGATAAGAGTTTTAAGAACGGATTAAAGGATTTTAATTGGTTGCACCTGCATAGAAGACTACCAGTAAGAGTCACAATGTATGCCCACGATTTGGGGAAACAAAAAGTTTGTCCAAGGGAAAATTGTAAGGAAGATGAAACGATTGAACATGTATTATGGGGATGTGAATATGCAAAAAAGGTGTGGGACGGGGTAAAAGGGAGTTATAAGTGCTTGGAAAACGTGACATATGATGAAATCACCTCGTTCGGGGTTAAGGGAGTGGGAAAAGAGCAATATAAAGTACTTTGTATGCTGTTATCAATTGTAAAGCTTAAATTATGGAAAGCAAGACAGGGTTTCATAACGGGGGTGTATAAATGGGGAGAAATTGGAACAGTTAAGGCAATAGAGAAAGAATTTGAAGGTATATATTGGCACGAACTAGAAAAGTGGGGAAGTGACACAATTAAGGATAGGTGGAAAGCTTTTTCTTAAACCCACCCAAAAGAAGGTGGTAAGTGACAGGGAGCGAGATAGTAGGTATGTGTTGGTTGTTATTGTTTATCGAAATGTTCTTTGCTTCGTGTGTTGGAAATCGGATTTAGCTCGGGAGAATGCTCTTTGGGATGGAAAGAAATGAAGAAATGTAAATGTTGTGAAAAAAAAAAAAAAAAAAAAAAATCTGTTCTTATCAGTTTAATATCTGATACGTCCCCTACCCGGGGACCATATATTAAATTGACTTTTGGAGCAGGGAGATGGAATAGGGGCTTGCTCCGTCCACTCCACGCATCGACCTGGTATTGCAGTATTTCTAGGAACGGTGCACCCCCTGAAGCTGTGAAAAACAAATGTCATTTGACTCAACAGTTTGTGCAAAGAAATTTCTTATACGCTAGATATATGCGTGCGTCTGCATATGTGGACATTGTCTTCGTGTAATCTTCCAAGGTTAGTCAGACTGAAATGTTGCGACTTAATATTTGTGAATGAGTTACATTTAACTATTACCAGAATTACTAAATCCTGCCACTTGGACTGACACGTGGCTGGACACACACTTTCTATGGGAAATCAAAAAAATATGTCGTTTTCAACTGCAGTTACACTATTCTGGCTCCAATCCTGCAGTTACCTCTGTTGTCCACTAGAGACCAATAGAAGTCTTTAAAACCGGAGGCTGCCATCTACAAGGACTCATGTTGATTATAGGTTTAACTCTTCTCTTTCTCTACATACTGCAGCTTTCTGTCCTCTGTGGCTGTAAATTACATCGTTTGAAAAAAAAAACACCACACAATTTTTTCTTGGCTTTTTAGCTAAAATCACCTGTATTGTCTGTTGTTTCCATTTGTGGATGGTTAATAGTGCAGAAGATTGTTTTTCTGTTTTCAGGATTACATGAAAACATTTTGGAACAGATCATTTTTGTATATAATAAATCTTAGGATAGTATTGGTTTTGATGATTTATAAAACAGCTGTGTGCCGTAGCCCTGGTAGTGTGGATCCTTAGTGTGTAAAGAGTAGATACCTCATGTAATATGTGTGAATGAAAATCCATGGACTTTATAAGAGTCCTCCATTTATGGCTATGATCCTAACAAACAAGATTAATACGTTTCTTTCTCCTACCAATCTTCCTGTTTCCTAAAGGAACACGCATGCACAATATATATGCACCAGGATGCAGTGGCGTGTCTAGAAAATTTTTGTTGGGGGGCCAGGTAGGGGCACAGATTTGGAGAAGGGTGGCAGATGTAATTGGCAGATAATGTTAAAAACAATTCTACCAACCGTTCACCATAATTCAATAACCCTGTAAACCTAATAACCGTAACCTTATTAGAATGAGATTTTAACCACTACGGTGCAAAGTGTTTAGATACTGTGTTGATTAAGTACAAGAGATACAATCAGTCAGTGTTTATTCAGCATTCAAGGACATCAATATTTGCATAGTATTTTTACTGACATGTAGTGCACATATGTTTTGGGCAAAAACATTTTTGAATATTAAAATACGAACATTTTTAACATACAATTGGCAAATTAGCCAATTCCAATGCAAAACCAATGCCTGTTAAAAAAAAAAAAAGAAGATAATCTTCTCACAAACTGGTGTTTGATTTTGAAACAGGAAAAAAGTGGAGAAACAACTGAAAAGACTAACATTTGAATAAAACCTGAAAGCAAGTAAATACTTTATATGCTGCCTTACTTGGTAATATTGAGAACAACACTGGCTGATGATGAAATGCAGTCAGCTGGCATGGTGACACTGCCAGTATTAACCTGCAGGGCTGGACTGGGACAAAAAATTGGGCATTTTCACTACAGATTGGCCCACCAGGTATTAAAGCCATAAAGCCTTTGAATGAAAACAAATGCTGTTGTGACAGTGATGTACAGTCTTTTTGGTATATGTATGATTTCCATACATTTTACGTCAGATAAAAACTTTCTTCACAAGATTCAGATAATTATTTAATAAAAGCGAGATATTTTAAATGAGAATAAGAAAGAAAAGTATTTCTTTGTGCCCACCTTTCCCTGTTAATGCCCTACCTGCCCCCTGGCAACACTTTGCTAGACCCGCCCCTGCACAGTTACCAGCTGTCAGCTACATAAAAAAAGGATCCTGGTGTTATTTATCTCTCAGAAACAGTTCATAACTTCAACTCATTCCTGTCACCTAAAAGGTAAACCTGTTTCTCCATCACCTGTTCAGCTCTGATGATTCAGTAAGGACATCTCCTGGTTTCATCTTCATGTTTCCCTCTCACCACATATCCAAACCGACATCATGACCAGCAGCTTTACAGCTTTACAGCTGTGGCTCCAGCAAACATTCTAACTAAATAAATTCTAACAACAGCTGATCAAGCTTAAACGTGCTGCTGCTGTTTAGCGCGACATCTGCTGGTTTCCTCTTTCTGGCTCAAAGTGGGTGATAAACAAACAAGAGAGACGATCAGCTGATCATTGATCAGTTTCATGATTGAAGTAGCAACAGGAGAGAGAGGAGAGATAATGAGAGGAGAAGAGGCAGCTGTGCAGCGTAAAGACAGAATAACTCCAGTTTTGTGTCTTTTTCCATCCTAGCTGAAGTCCGGGACTTCTCAGCTCAATACCAAACGCGTAATATTTTCTCTGAATGAGGGACCATTCCATTTTTAAGGAGCTGTTGGCAACTCTACTAACTAACCTTATGAATAAAATAAAGTTCACTATCAGTAACATCATAGCAACCGAACATCTGTATAAACTTGTCATGCTAGCTCACACAGTATGAGGTATTGTAACTGACTGTAAAAAGTCAGCACAACGAAAATAAACTCCACCTAAACTTGGTTTATATCTGACCCAGATAGACTGCAGGTCATAACTTCTTACCTGAAGTTCAGTTCACCTGACACTCGGACTGGTGGCCGCCTCGGGGCTCTCCTCCTGCTTCCCCTTCCCTCATCCACCTGCTGGCCTCTGTGGAAGCCCTGCCATAGCCACCACCAAACAACTGAGTTATTTTTACACATCGACCTGCATCTTATAACTCATAACTCTTATGTTAAGTGGGGAACTTGCACAATCGGTGGCTAACTAAATACTTTTTTGCCCCACTGTACACTCACTGGCCAAATTTTTGTTAGATACACCTGTTGAGCTGCTCATTAGGTCAAATACCTAATCAGCCTATCACATAGCAGCAGCTCAGTGCATTTAGGCATGTATACATTAATAAGATGACCTGCTGAAGGTCAAAGGGGATTTAAATGACTTTGAACATGCATTGTTGTTTGTGTCGGACAGGCTTGTCTGAGTATTTCAGAAACTGTACAACCATCTAACCGGTTTATAGAAAATGGTCTGAAATGGAGGAAATCTCCTGTGAGCAGCACTTCTCTGGGAAAAAATCACTTGTTGGTGCCAAAGATCAAAAGCGGAATGAGCAGATTACTTACAGCTGTAAGGAAAGCAACATGAACTCAAATACCCACTTGCTTCAACCAAGTTATCAAGAAGAGCACCGCTGAAAGCACAATACGTTGAACCTCGAAGCTGATGGCCTAGTGTCACCTGCTGGATAGAGGTGAAAACACAAAGCAAACAATGTCTCTTTCATCTGTTTCACAGCATGCACGGGAACTGGAAACTCGCCGAAGGGAGGCAGAGGAGAGAGAGCGGAGGAAGCAGAGGGAGGTGCAGCTGGAACTGGAAAGACAGCTGAAAGAGGCTGTGATGGTAAAAAAAAAAGTTTTCCACTTGACACCAATTATGTACAGAGTCTTTTCTCCTTGACTTGATCTTTGAGAACTCCAGCAAAATGTTGACTGTCATTATAAAATTCACACCTAGTCTTTAATGATTTGGAAAAATGGTTGTGACAGTCCAGGAAAAGGTAATTCAGGAATAGGTCAGTTTATACCGCTCTGTTGGTGCATCTGTTATGTAGCTGTGTGTGTGTGTGTGCATAGATAAAAGACAGCATGCAGGCTGAGATGCAGGTGAAGGAAAAGGAGGCTGAACAACAGAAGAAGAGGATCAGGGAGCTGGAGCTGACACAGCAGCAGCTGGAAGTTGCCCTTAATATGGAGATCCAGGCTCGGCTGGAGGAGGAGAGGGCCAGACTGGAGCTTGAGCGGTAACAATGGATTTCTAACTCTTATTATGGCCCTTTATTATTTTATTTGTGATGGAGATCTGAGATATCCATGAGAAGTATTAACATTTTCAGTTGCTTCTTCCCTTTTTCCCCTCCTTCAGGTTGCTGCAGGCTGAAGATGAAAAGAGGAAACATTTCCAGCTCCTCCAGGAGCAGCAACGTACAATGCAAAACCTCAGCCCCATACAGGAGCTGTCAGATGGCAGTCCCGATGAGGACACCCCCTCGGCCCTCAACTCTGCCTCTCAGGAGCTCCAGGATCTGCAGGCATCTCGCCAAAGAAGTCACCAGCGTCTGGAGGTGAACAAGTTTGTTTTGACTGGCTTTGTGAGCAGCATCTTATTTAGTGCTCTTCTAAAACAACACTGATGAAGATGCCTGCATGATTTTTGTTTCCAGGAGGTTCAGGAGAGGCTGAGGAATGCCAGTCAACAGGTACGGCACTGGAACATCCAGCTGAACCGACTGATGACCCCCATTACTCCTGCAGGTGCGGTATTCACTTTGCCTCTTTGCAGCACAGACTTCTGGAACAGAGTGTTAGTATAGTTAATAACAGTGTAGACCAGGGGTGTCAAACTCAAATACACAGTGGGCCAAAATTCAAACTGGATCAAAGTCGCGGGCTAACTTAATATTTATTGAAATATATTTATTCCTCCAGATATAAGAATGAATCTTTTCTTATGGACTCAAACACATTTTGCTGAAAAACTGAATATGGAACAAGCAAAGCTTAATACTAAACAATATATATTAGCTGTATAATACCAGTAGGCCAGCTCTAATAGTAATTTGGTATGGCTTCGCGGGCCAAATGTAATTAGGTTGCGGGCCAAATTTGGCCAGAGTTTGACACCTATGGTGTAGACCATATAATCTGTCAGATAATTGCATTAAAATGCTACAAAAGGCACCTACCCCAAACATGTCAAGAGATTCATTCAGTGACTTGAATGAAGAATCTGACTCACCTCAAGTTAATTAAAATTAAAATAAATCTTATTATGATTTAAACACGGAAATCTTAAACGAAAAATAACCGCATGCACAGTTGTTACAGGCTGCAAACATGTTTTATACTGCTTTGAAGTCTGGGACAGCATCATAAGAGCATAACTGATCTCACCATAGTCCCATGAAGACTCAAGATGAGTGTTTTCACGACTGCCATCTTGGTGTTTTGAAATCAGGCATGATGAATGAAGGGAAGAACTGTCTGTTAAGGTTCTCAGTCGTTCAGGTCATCGTAGTCTAAGGAGCTTGGAAAGAAAAGCATCTGGACTTCTTTAAGTTTCTTGAAGAGCATTTCACCTCTCATTCAAGAAGCTTCTTCAGTTCTCTGAAGAAATTCTGAACTGAAGAAGCTTCTCAGATGAGAAGTGAAACATCTTCAAGAAACTTAAAGAAGTCCAGATGCTTTTCTTTCCAAGCTCCTTAGACTGTAGTTAAACTTCACACACTGGACTTGTCAGTCACACATCCTTCGCCAGTAGGCATTCCCAGAATGATCTTTCCCCTTCTGACGCTTAGAATGACCAAATATGTGCAAAATGGACAATTCCACATGCCACCATGTCAGTCTTTTATTAAATATGACATGAAACAAATGACTGAGCCATTAAATTTGTCACAAAGGTGTTCACCTAATTCCAGGCAAATGGAATAGACTTCTATGGGACCATAAGTCTTTTTGCACTTTGACATTTGTTTTACTTTTCAGATCTGTAACCTATAACTTTTATACTGTATGTGTTTTGATCATAGGAGTCTACGGGGACTTACTTACTTTTAGCACGTTTAGCAGTTGATGTTGGCTTCTTTTTCAGTACTGGAGCTTCCTGCTCATTGAAGACTTTTCTAAAAGGAAATGCTTAATCCAAAATGGCGTTTTAAGGCTTGGATTAATGTCAATTTCAGCAAATATTCTTTCTTATGTTAAAAGAACATGGATCTCTGTCAGTGATAACTTCTGACTTTATAACTCAAATTTAAGAGAGAGCTTCACTGCTAAGCTCTCATCTGTGTGGGTGTCACGGTTCGCTTGAGGACTCACACGCAGGACTCAGAGGCACAGTCTGTATTTATTACAGTTCCACCAGGTGTATATACAAACAGTGCAGGGGATAGTGCTATATACAAAGCGGTGACAGGGAAAAGGCTCTGGGGAAATCCAGGTAGGGAAAAGACACTTGCTCCTCTTCTGACTCTCTCTCCAAACACCGCTCGGGGGATGCAGAGTCGGGTCCAGGGATCTATGTACAGAAGGAAACACACGTTAGAGGTTTTGCACAGGGAAGCAAAGAGAACTTGCTCAGAGCCGGGCTGCACTGACGCAAGTCACACACAACGATCCAGTGATGAGTAGAAGCCACTCCCTGGCTTAAATGCTGGCTGCACTGATGAGGCCCAGGTGTTTCCTCCTCAGAGGGGCGTGGGCCGAGGGCGTGAACCCACCATGAGTTCCGCCCTGGCGAGAGAGAGAGAGAGAACACTACTAGTCAGCGGCCTGCTGATCCCTGGCCGTGACAGTGGGGTTCAAATCCCTTATTCAGATTAAGATTTTATGTGACATTACATTGGCAAAATTAAATTTACTTGAATAATGTGAGTATTGGAGTAAGTACTTGAGTAGTTTTTGAATAACTTTAATTTTGTAATGTGCATATTTTATGAATAATGATGTTTCAATACTTTAATCTACTGAATAAGTAGAATTAGACTTAATAATCTTTTTACTTTAAAAAGGGAAATTGTGTACAATCTTTTATTCTCCAAAATGCACATAATAAAAATGTTTTGGGGAATGTATATGCTTTTTAAAAACCAATTGCTTCTTACTTGATGCATGCTATAACTTTCAGCAAAACTGAACTAAAATTTGTTAACAAGCTTACCAAATAAGAAATGTTTTGTGAATTTTCTTTGCAGAGCGACTGGAAAGCCGGCTGTTATCAAAGCCCACATGCCCTAAAAAGGAGGACGCGCTGGCCAGTAATGAGTTCATCACTAAGTTTAAGATAAGAGTTGATCAGAATAGAGGCGATGATGAAAGTCTGGAGCATCAGTTGGAGGCTGCCAACCTGTCTGATGAATCGTTCGAGGCCCAGACAGAAGTCAACGGACAAATATGATCACAGACATTTTAAAAACGCGAGTTGAGAGTTAAGGGGAAAATATTGTAATAAGTATATATTTGAATTGCACACTAAGATATAAAGTGATGGCAGCGAGCACAGTGTTGCAGGATTTAATTAAAAACACATCTGACTAAGACCAACTGAAATTTAGAGTTGTGTATAATAAAGTTTATTCATGATTAATAAACAAATCTGTAATAATTTCTTTCTCTTTTGTCCATCTGAATCTCGCTACAGCTTAAATAAAAGAAAGAATGTGTTTTGAATATATTAAACTATTCTCTCTTTTCTTTCTTTCTTTTTTTCTTGGTGGGTTTTCTTTTGCAATCAAACGCAACATTATACAATTATATAGTATAGTAAGAAATATCCTTTAACTTAATTTAGTATTTGTTTTTTCATTTTTGTTTTTATTGTTTCCCCTTCAGTTTTGTGCTCATAACATGTTCTAATCTGACATATTATGCAGTAAATTATTTTGCAATAACTTAACAGGCCATTGTGGGAGCCAACATTCACTTATCAAAGACATATTTGTATATTCTGTGGGCTGCTTTATGGTTGTGTCATTTAGAAACATAAGCCACAACAGACTTCCACTGGAGAGTACTTAAAAATGTATTTTATGTAAAGATATTTTAATAACTACTATATTAAGGGAGAACCTATTGTTACATGGATTAATTGTACAAACTGTAGAGAAATAAGTTTAAGCGTGCAACTTTTTATTCATTTTAACTGTATTAATGTTTTTATGTTAATACAGCCGCCTCATATCTGTTTCCTCAGTGTTTTTTAAACCATGTACTCCATCTATGAGTAAGAACATGATAAATTCCTTTCCAATTTGTAGTTCTTTTTCCAACACACAGATGCAGGTATTCTTTTGCACCAAGGCGTTAAAGAAATGCTAAGAAAAATGAAAATACTACGTTGCAACCTGTGTGTGTGTGTGTGTGTTTATATATCTGTATCTATATAGATATAGATTATATGTGTATTCGTACCCGTTTTCATCATCTAGTTTCCTGTGCCAGATCTTCTACTGATCCACTGAGGCAGACATGTAAAAAACATGAACTAAGCATATTTCTGTATATAAACAGGACTTTAATCTTTATCAACAGCTACTTTAGAGGAAATTCTTCAATAAACTGCAACCAAGGCTCAACTCAGAGGACAAAACCCAACCTGTTATAATAGTGTGACACCAAACTTTCTTGTGTAAAGTTACAAATAGGAGTAATTATCCACAGAAGCTTTTATACATAATGAAGTTATAATTCGTCCTGTAGAAATTGTACATTTAGCTATATAGTTCCCTCTGTGATAACTCTGCTATGAATGCCTCTTATTAACTTTATGCTTTTACACCCACTATGAGCAAACACTCAGCAACAGTGGGAAGGAAAACTCCCTTCTTGAAGGAAAAAACCTCTGGTAGAACCTGGAATCTGTCTAAACTAGTTGGGGGTTAGAGCAACAGATGCAAGTCTTCAGATCATTTGCAGTGTGACTGTCTTTGTGCACACTTTAACCTGATTCAGTTTTCTTATTTGTCAAAATGCACCATGGGTAAAAAAAAAAAAACCAAACAAAATAGTAATGAAGGAGAATCCTCAGCAAGATGAATTAAACAAGTTTATTTTGATCCAATTTTACTTTAGTAAAACACATCTTTATTTGATGACTTTAATGTCATCAAATAAAGACAGTTTTGATGGAGCTCCTGACCCACCAAGCTCTCTATGAAGACGAGGAAAAACTCCCCAGGGGCCAGATCGATGGGAAGAAACCTCGGGAAAGCCCATTCAAAGAGAGATCCCTTTCCTGGGATGGCTGGGGGGTTACAGGAAGTCCGAAAAGCTAATTTTTTATTTATTTATTTTTTAAGATGACCCATTCCTGTCCAACAGAAAAAGAAAGGAGGTTACCACAATGTATCACACTTATATGATAGGTGAATTGTGTGTTTGTGTGTGCTATCTTAGCCAGGGGTGAAGCTGGAGCTCCTCCAGTGTTGGGCGCTTCTCCGGGGCTATAGTTAAACATGCCTCCAAGAAATTCTGGCATTCTTGAAAGAAAGAAAAGATCAAATGTCAAGGCTCTGTGTGCGGGCAGGCAGAGATGAGGATCCAATGCAGGATCGGAAAATGGAATGTAACTCAAAAACCTCAGCTTTATTGCTGGCAGGAAAACAAACATAAAGTGAGGACGGAACACTGAGACCAAGAACACACAGGCAAAACTGATGGTACGACACGACACTGAGCATGGGAAAACACAGGGCTTATATCACAGGGGTTAGTAACGGGGGAATCGGCAACAGGAGGGAGACACAGCTGGAGAGATCAGGGCTAACGGGGGAGCTAAGCTGCACACACTAACATAAGACAAAGACTTTCACAATAAAACAGGAAACATGAATTACTAACAAGCATGCAGACTTTACACTGAGAGACAAACAGAATAACACATGGAATCTGAACTAAACTAAACGTGAGATATAACTGAGAACAAATCCTTAAGCACGGATAAACAGAAACAAGAAACTAATAATAATCATCATCATCACTACGAGAAGAAAACAATCCATGAAGCAGAAATAAACCAAAACATAATAAACTCAAAATACTGGGTCCAACGGACCCAGAACCGTGACACAAAAAGATGAAGATGATAGTTCTAGTGATCCAAGACATCAGTGAATCTGGAAGTGTGAAGTTTTCTTACCTGTGGACAGACGCTTTTTGATGCTCAGTTTCTTTGCGAGGAACCTCTCGGTACTAAAGTGCCGTGCATGAAGCGCTTCATACAACACCACTCCCATTTGCCACACCGTGGTGGTCACACCTGTAGCAGCTCCTCCTGTCCACTCGGGAGGGGTGTGAAGAGGAGTGCCTAACAAACAGACACAATTACAATTTCTTCTAAAACAAAAGACACAAATTGCTACATCTGTGAAAAGCAGGAGCAGAATATGTTACCATAGAAGACGCGATACAGAGATCGCTGTTTAACAAAGCAGCTCAGTCCAAAGTCAATGATGCGAACTCGAGGCACATCGGAGCCGGTCTCAATCAGAATGTTTTCTCCCTTGATGTCCCGATGAAAGATGTGTTTATCCTCAAGTTCCTTTACAGCATCAACTAGTTGCTTCAGAATGACCTGGAAAAGATGAAAAACACAATAATGAGTTAATGCTTTTCTGCCTTGATTGAATGCTGTACAGTCTAAGGCTCTCCCAGTCAACCTACCTTGGCCTTGTCCTCTGGTAAGGTTCTTCCATATTCTGCTTTGTATTTTTGCAGGTCCACAGCGGGGACAGGTCTCTCCAGCACCAGGATCAGCTCTTTGCCAAGGTCGAACCACTCCAGCAAGGACACAGGTGCTGATATTCCCACTGACCCTTCTGCTTCACCTGCAAGTTTAACCATAATGGCCACTTCCACCGAGAGCATCTTCCCGCTTTCATCCTGAAATATTACAACAAAGTGGATGATGAGGAACGCCGCATTCAATCCAGTAATGTAAAACTAATTCAAGTGTTGGACGCTTACCGCCACTTTGCAGTAGACTTTATTTTTGGGAATGTGTTTGATGGCAACCTAGAAGACACAGAGCATTGGTGAGCATTTCCTCAGTATGACATAATGAAAGGTGGAAACACAGCAGACGTCTCAGTTTACGATATTATCCATTATCTGCGTTACTGCCTGTCTTACTACCATCATCTGAACACTTACTGGAAAACGATCTTCTATCCGGTAGCCAGAAAACACTGCTCCGCAGCCTCCTTCTCCGAGCTGGTGCTCCTCCACATATCTGGCTTGGAATTCACCTGAACAGACAAAACAGCAAATCTTGTTTTATTACAGCTGTGACACAAATTACTCTCCTCTGTAGCCTAAATGTTCCTTTTGCCCTTCCCCTGAATATAAAACCCAAGCTGCTTGCTACTTACGTTTTTGGTCTGCCACTGATTTTTTTCCTGGTCCACATTCCTTTTTTTTTCTTGGGTGACTCTCTGTCGTCTCCCGTGGCCTTTCTTTTGCCATTTTTTGCGCACACCTGTTTGTTGTTCAAGTCTGGAGATGTGGAAAACACCAAAAGCATATCAGCTCACTGGATGATAGACACAAACACTAAACACCAATATCTTAAACCTAGCAACCACACTTAATCTACCCCCTTATTCAACTAATTAGCCTACCTTTACCAGAGTCCAACGAGGAGGATGCTTGCTCCTTGTCACCGCTCATATGGTCAAGAAGTTTAGCCCTCTTTGCTCTCTTTGTTGTGTCCTCTTCATCTTGCACAACCTTGCGCTTCACTCCTTTGACCACATCTGAGCTGGTGGAAGGACCAGCCTGCTCAGCGACCCTCCTCCTTTTCATTGGGTCTTCTTTTCAGGACTGGCCTTTCTTTAGCAGTCCTGCTCTTACAATCTATAAACGACAACAACACAGTGGTGAAAAAGAGTCCCCGACATCAAGACTGGAAGCAGTTTGATGGCAAAGAATTTGAAATTGCTTTTGCTTAAATGATCACAAGTTTAATCTTGGGATGAAAAAATAACTGATCAGTGCGAGTTGATACTAGGTTTACTAAGTCTTAGATCTTGATGGCACTTGTTGGTCTGTTTTACTGTTGAGTCCAAGAATAAACTTATTACATTATTTTACCAAAAGACCGGTAACCTTTCTTTGATTAGACATCTTGTATTAAAGCTATTTTCAATTAAACATATGATTCAATTGCTCCAAAAATGATTCACACAGTGTCAACATTTCTAGGATTTGGATTTTACCAGGATTTGATTTTATTATTTTACTTACCTTGATCTCCCGAATCTTTCTTATCGGCTGGAGTGGCAATTTTTCTTGTTTCCTTTTTCATTGTAATTTCGGAGACCCTTTAAAATCGAAAATGTAAACCGTAATGAGCTAAGATTGAGTTAATATTCCTTCAAATGTGCACCCTTCAAATGCTTGACTTTTCTAACTGAATTCTGTAAGTGAGCTTTA